GTGGCATGAAGGGACACCGTTAGCAAATGGCTGTATTCATAAACTTTGCAATAAATGAAATATACTTGAAAGAGCAAGAAAGAGGATGGGGGAAGAGGGAAGAGAAAGAGAAAGAAAAGAGATAGGAAGAGAGAGCGAGAGAGCTCAGTGGTGCTGGATCCAGCCAACGGGGGCCTTTGATGTCCTGAGTCCCACACAGTGCAGCTCGCTGTCCTTTTTCACGTTGGTTGCTTCGGGCAACACCTCTCCACACTTAAACAGGGCAGGGGGCGGCAGCCAATTTATATGTAAATGAGGAGTATCGGGAGTAACAAAGAGATTACAAAGACTCCGGGTCTAGCATAAGGGAGGAACAGGACCGTAGTCACTTTAACATCACTCTATCTTTAATCTGGTTAATTACAGCAATAAGGATCTTCCGGCTGCTCAGGCACACCATCCACTCATCCCATGGAATGTCTCATCGTGTGGCTCTAGTTGCTTCATTTCATTTCACTTTATTTCATTTGAAATCTCTAATCTACTAGATTATCAGTGGTTTTGTTTTTCTCCAGCCTTAACCCCATGAGGTTAGACAATGAAATTCAAAATTACTAAAACCAGTTGCTGTCAACTTTAAAAATATTTTGAAAAAAAATGCTGTAGAAAATAATTACATCTTGGAGATCTTTCTTGCCTATTTCTTGGAGATGCAGCTGTTCTTAGATCAAGGAACTGAACAATCAAGTTTTCAAAGTACAGCACTGGTGATGCAAGAAAGCTTCCACTGGACTAGATGAGAAGTAAAGTCTCATGTACATTTGGATATTTGATCACTGCTACATGGTTATGTTCCTGTTTTCAAAAAATGTTAAGATTTTTTTTTTAATGCCTGATTGTCCACTCTGATCAAAGATAGTTTACTGAAGATCACAGAGGAAAGCAATAGGGCAGACCATACACAAAAAAAAAAAAAAAAAAAAAAAAAATATTGATGAAATAAACAAAGCTCAAAGCTGGAGAGAAAGTGGGACAGGAATCTCTTTCCTCCCCTTATCTCTTCCAGTTATCTTGGGTTCTGTTTGTAAAACAGACATGTAAAATATTTAAGGTATGATGACTGCTTTTAGAAAACAATTGCCTTGAACAATAGAAATAAAAACTTGCAGAAGGTCACAGTACTCACTCAGTGAATACCATTAATCTAACCCTGTGATTCTGCACTTAGAGGCAAAATTTTGTTCCTGAAACTTTTCATAGGACTAAAATCCTAAGATGCCTGAGTCCAACAAAACTCATGGTGTCTCTGAGTGAACAGTCAAGTGAACAAAAGTTTCAGATCCTGCCTGTTGCTAAACACAAACTAAGAAAAGGGAATGAAATGTGAAAGAACTCTTCAGCAATACAAGGACCATGATAAAAACTTACCACGCAGAAAATGTTAAAAATACCTGTAATTGAGGATAGCCCCTAGATCACACAGAGTAATTTCTTAGCACACAATCAGGCAAAGCAGACGCTCTACAAAGATCAAGCTAAACCCAGGATCTGAAATAGGTACTTTTCCCCATATGATTCTCAGAAGAAAACACACCCTAATTGTGTATGTATGACTGCAGCTACACTACAACATATTCTCACCATGCTGAAGGCACTTACTATTTTGTTTCCTTCTTGAATGCCTAAATTTGGACAGTCATATGACCAAGACCTTTTATTTACTTCAGGAAAAACACAGATGGTCAGTGGCTAGCCAGGAGTGTCATTAGGGAATCTGTGAGGGGTACTCGCTACCACCGAAACAAGAGAGGACTGACACCCAGTAATTTCTGTCTTGCAAGAGAATTCACCAACCTTACTAGTAAATAAAGTTCATAAATGAACAAATCAGAACCAAAGTCAAGTAAATGAGGATGAAGCAGCTGGGCTCCATTTGTTCTTTTCATTATTCATAGTAAGGTATATATCTTTTGAGTTCCTTTAACTTATTATGCAAATCCATGAGGGAAACATTTGATACAAACTAACACTCATTTTAAAATATTTTTCACAAAAAGGGACTAGAAAAGCCAATAAAATTTAGCTTTACTTTTAAGTCACCTTAATCTCACCCTGTTTTGCTTTGCAAAAAAGGTGTGCAGCAATAACCTTTGGAAGCAGAGCCAATGTTCAGCCAGTTACACTTGAATTACCAGATGTGCAACAATCCTCAAGAGGACCAGTTGCCACAGACATTTCTGCGAAAGTGCCTTACAAACAGCAGCTAATTTTCACACCACCTCTGCAAGCCCTGTGTGGATGGGTTATCACTCCCAGAGCACAGATGTGGAAAAACAGTGGCACCGTGGAGATGAGTGCCAAGGTTGGGATTACACTTAAAACATTCAGACCTCTTCTGTCTGCATTTTATGACTAACAGGGAAGGAAGGTAGAGAGGCATAAGGATGGGAGCCTGGAAATACCAAAAGATGTCATTGCTGAAACTCCAAGTTTCCATGGAGCTGCAGTGGATGGACACTTGGACAGCCAAGTCAAACTGGCACCAGGACGAGGTTCAGCGGCCTCTTAAGGCAGGTGCAGCTGGTGACTGCCAGGTGTGGACAGCTAAGGCAGTAAACTGCTGCTGCTCTAGGAACTCATGACTATAAATCCATTATCACTGTGTGAATGAAATAGAATTATACTGTGCTTTTGAAACTTTCTGTAAGTTAAAATATAGAAAACTTCCTGGTGTAATACCAACTAGCAGTGCACAGATGCATCAGTGCAGGAGCAGTATCAATACATATTTGGTTACAAAAAAACTCCAGCTTGCTAACAATGGCTAGAGAAGTACTTGAGCTGTTATGGTTTCTCCACAAGTTTGAAGTTACTGTCTGAACATCTATCTATTTTAGTGGAATACAAAGGAAACCTTCTGCTACATTCTTGAGATGAGCTAGTGACAACTGCAAAAATAGTAACTCCATGATGTATCTCTCTCACAACAGTTTTACACTGCATGTAAGACCACATATCATCCCCTCAACACTTTGTGTTAATACTAAACCACACAGTATCTTTTTGCCAATTCTTTTATCCATTACTTTTCTGGGTGCAAGGTTTTTAAACTACCCTGTTTGTTAGCTTACCTGTGAAGGATTTCAAAGAGCTGATAAACTTGAGCAAAAGGTTAAAAAATTGCTTTTTGCTTGAAGCCACAGGCAAAAGGGAAAGATGGGCACTGGGCATGATTTAGCCAGGTTGAGCACCAGGCTCAGCACAAGACAGTAGGTGAGTAAAAGAACCACGTGATTTCCAATTTTTGTGCGGCTTTAGAAGTGAGCAAAAACAGGTTTGGCCAAACCTGAAAAGACGTTTGAATAATCAGCCTGAGACAACTGACAGATTTGACCCCCAGGGCAATTTTTCCCGGCTTCCGGTAAAGCCAGTCAGTCAGAAAAGGTCTGAAACCATGCACATGGTGCTGTGGGGCTGGCGTGCCCCACAGTGTGGTGCTGGCTGAGGTTATTAGGTTAATTGCACAACCACGTGAGTACAGCCTTGTTGGTCTGAGCTCTGAATTATATGGAGGAGAGCTGAAGAAGCCATGAGAGAAACAGGAACTGGTCATTCCTGACCTGAAAAGACCTTTTGTGGTTATTCTGTTTAAAGGAAAAAAAAAAAAAAAAAGAAAAAAAAAAGAAAAAAAAAAAAAAAAAAAAAAGGAAAAAAAAAGGAAAAAAAAAAAAACTAAGGGAAACAAGCCTAATTCGAAAGCTGAAAAGTTGCCATCCAGAGCAGAGCAAAGGGACGTCATCATTTATTTCATGCAAATTCTCACTGCTGCTATCAAGCATGCTAAGTGCTTAGTCTCATTTCTCTTCAAATCAACAGAAAAATGAAAAACATTACTGTTTGTGCCAGTTCACAGCCAAGCTTTAGCATCTATCACAGCTCTAGCATTGCAACACCACCGGCAGAGGTTGTATTTCTGAGAACGACAAGTGGGGGAATGGCAAAGAAGGCAGTCAAAAGCAAACTTCACCAATTAACAATTCAAATGTTGAAAGCCAGCCACATACAAGGATGTCATTCTTACTGAGTGTATTGTTTTGTTCCGATGACAGATCTTCACTCACTTGAATGGAAATAGCCGCACTCTACATCTACTACTACTGAACTGCCAGCTGTGTTCAGGAGATATTTATAACCAGTAATGCTGCAGATGGAAGGTGAGTTTTAATGTATCATAGTTACTCCTCTGGCTGGAGTGTAGCTCTGTGTCTGACAGCTGGAATTGAATTGCAGAAAGCTCAATATATCTCTCCATCGTTTTCACTCTTTTCCTTTGCATGTAACCATCCCTTCCAAGCTTGCTTCTGTTTTCTGGCTTGCCTTATTGCTCCTGCCTCGTCTCGGTAGGAAGCCAAGTTAGTGTGGAGCTGCCTTTCCCAGTGCTCACCCCCACTGTCTGCTTGGGCTGGGGATCAGAGGGACCCCTCGGAGCTCCCCTGAGGGACGTGCCGGGGGCTCGAACCTCAAGTGGGACCAAACCACCCCGCCAGGCACTTGGCCCCCGGCCCCGTTCTCGTTGCAGACCCCTGGGGCCCCAAACCACAGCCCCCAGCGCCTGCCCGCCTCTATTTCAGCCGGGAGCTGGGGGTGGGAGGGGGGCGGGCGATGTAAGGGTCACTTTTCTTTCTGCAGGAGGATGCCAGGCGGGGCGAGGGGCTCCACTCCACTCCGTATGTTGTGACAAACCACGACCCCTCAAGCACCGCTGCCTCCCCCTGTCCTTCACCGGCACGCCCCGTGCAGCCGGGGAGGCACACCGAGCCCCGCCACCGCACCGCGCTCCGCAACAAGGCCGGGGCACCCGTGCCTGTGCCCGGCGGAGCTTCCGAGGGAGCCCCTGGCCGCGCACAAAGAGAGAGCGAGCCAGGCACGGGAGCACCGCCCGCCCCCGCGGCGGGCAGCGCTGCCTGCACACACGCAGCCCCGCACACGCAGCCCCGCGGGCGGCCGGGCGGGTCACGTACCTGCAGGTGTCTGTCCGCGGCAGCGCGGGGCGGGGAGCCGTGCTATATCGCCCGTATTGCATGGGGGGATGAGGGCGATATCGCTCGGGGGCTGGGGCGGGGGGGCTGCTCTGCTCCCTCCGCCCTCTTCCTCCTCCTCCTCCCCGCGGTGTGTGTGGGTGTGTGGTACTCCGCGCCGGAGGAGGCAGCGGCGGGCTCCGGCTCCTGTCAGCCACCGGAAACCGGCGCCCGGTCCCCCGCACCGCAGGAAGTGTGCAATGGCACACCCGCACACCGGCCCCGACTGGCAGCGCACCGCCGGCTGTGTGCCACGGCACACACACACACAGAGCACCGCACAGCACCGCCGGCTGTGTGCCACGGCACACACACACACAGAGCACCGCAGGCCGTGTGCCACGGCACACACACACCGCACACGCACCCCATCCGGCGGTGCAGCCCAAGGCTGGGCACAGCATGGGACCTTGAGGGACGCCCAAGGGACACCTGCCCCTCCCGGGGGAATTAAGAGGGTTGGAGAGGGAGTCGCCGTGCCCCTCTGTAGAGAAACGGGCAACAGGAACTGCCTTCCCTGCGTTGCCGTGGGCAGGAGTGAAAACAAGGAGAGATGCATGCATGTGAAAGGGGGATGACACGCTAATGAGCACGTTCTTAGATGACATAAAATCATGTAATTCTCATTATTCTGGTGGAGGTCTCCTGACTTGCAGCATCTGACCTACTCAAAGTGAGTGTGTCCAAACAGCTGCTACTCTGTTGTTTTGTGCAGATACAGAAACTGCACAAAACTGCAATTTACTGTTACTTTTTTTCTTTTTTAAATAGGCATCTGCCATGACCTGTCAATATCATGTGGACTGTATACATATACATGCACACATCTGCACACATGCTGTGCCTGTGTGTAAGACAATAAAAACTGCAATTTTTGTTTTGTGAAAACTTTCTTAATTTGCTTGCAACTAGAGACCCTATCGGCAACATTGCTCATATAGGGATTTTTTTGCAATTAATCACAGGAGGGCTCACTGTGTGCTTGCAGCATTTTCTCTGGGTGTTGGTTCTCCCACAGTAAGCAAGGCACATGCCAAAGCAAACTTTGCTCATCTCCTCAGTTGGGCTTTTTTTACCCTGCATCACTCCAGAAGGAGACAGGCCTGGCTATCAGCCTTCTAAGCTGTCTACTTCATGGCCCAGAGGTTTTCTTTCCTCATCTTCCTTATACCAATATTTGCAAAACTTGAATGGGCTAACACATGCTTAATAGCTATGATGGCAACAATGCTTACACAAGAGTATAATGGAGGAAATCTGGAAGTGTATTCATGCCAAAAGTAATGCTCTTTCCAGATTTGCCTGTGAGGGAGCAGGGGAGTTTGGTAGCAGCATTAGCTTTGCCTAATGGGAAGATTGCCATCCCTTCTGCTATTGTTATTTTCAGTAGGGTGTCATGGTCATGGTGCTGCTAACAGCAGAAGTCTATAATACTTAAATCATTAAGATTTCAGTAGTAGACTCCTAAAGATGAAGAACCATAACAAAAGGAGTAATTATTCCAGGGGGAGGAGGGAGAATCTGCCTCCATCCGTCATGATCAAATCCATGACACCCTGCTTTCACATCTTGCTTTTAAAGCAGGGACCTGTAGTCAAAGCACTGGCAACATTACGAAAAAGACCACAACATTCCTGGACTCTGCTGTGCCCAAAAAGTCCTTCTAGGGACAGGAATGGGCTGATTTTCAGGAAAATGCCCCCACAGTACCATACAGGCCATCAAACACTCCTCATGGGTCAGAGGCTGCATGGGTTGTATTGGTTGAAACCAGTGCCCTGATTGCCTCTACAATGGGGCTGCTCAGCTGTCTTTTCAAGACCAAATTGTTACACTTTCACAAACAACAATTAGGAATTCCTGAAGAGGAATGCCTTCCAAACAAACGCTCCTCATCTCTGGGAGTCCTATAATCAAGCACATCATCTGCAGTCAGGAAGCAAAAGGGGCTTGCTCTTCACTGTTGGTTTTCAGTCTTGATACTCCTTTGCATTCTTTTTCTTTGTTCTCTACTTCTCTCGTGCTCTTCAGTGGACACAGGACAAAGCCTCCCACCTTCTCCCCCACCTCTTTCTTCTCCTTCTTCTCTTCTCTTCTTCAGGTCACATCATATGCTCAATCAAAGAGCTCAGCTAAGCCTAGAACAGCATCACCAGCACCTCAGCACAGAATTGCAGTTCTGGATGAGTTTGTTTTAGCTCACTGCCTGTGTTAATGATTGCACTGTGAGGGCAGCAATTGTGTGCACTGATGTTCCCAAGCAAGCAAAAAAGGTTTTCTCCTGGAAGGAAAGCTGCTGCTATTGACCCAACAGGACTGTGCTGGCTGCTGCAGGGTGGACAGACAGAGGGACTGTCCTGCCTCTGCAAAGCCAAGAGACTGCTGTGGTGAGGAGTTATTGCTGGCCATTTCTCCTCCTATTCATCACTTGGAATAAAACACAATCAGGCAGACATCTGACTTGGTTGGTGTGGACACCTGCTGGAGCCCCTCTTCATAGATGGTCCACATGTCCAGGTAAGGCAGCAGGGTATTGTCTTTAATGCAGTGGGCTGAGAAAGAAGGTGTATCACATCCTCATCCCAGAACTAGCATGGGCTTTATTCTGTAACCTCTGACAATTCCCTAACCCATGTGCTGTGACCCTTCATCAGCCACAGCAGGCTGTGTGGCAAGGGTGAATTGTCCCACTCCAGATGCCAGTGCCAGGAAAGCTAGGGCTCATGGTGCTCAGTGGAAGCACATGCTCTCCCCTCCAGTACTCCCAGGCAGCCTGCCATCCCACTAACACTCATGCCACCAGCAGACCAAAAACAATGGGCAAAAGCATCCCAGATCCCAACTGATCCTTCTGCAGAGAAACACTGGCTGTGAAATAGGGTGTACAAGCTGCCAAAGAGGAGGGAGAGGAATCACCATCCTCCTGTTTGGGAACACCTGACTGTCTGCTTGAAGAGAGGCCCAAAGCTCCTGGTAAGTGACAGTGACATCAGAGCAGAGATTATACCACCTCGCAGAAAACTTGCAGGCACCAAGTGACCACACGGCTTTGTTGTGAGCTGCTCAGCTTCCCCAGCATCCCTCCAGCACCACACTGGCCAAGCAGAAACAGAGCAAATCTTGGGTTTTCCCAGGGATGTTCTCCATGAGATAAGATGTGCACCGACAGGGTCTGGGCTGATTCCCCTTTTGTTCAGAGGACATGTGTACTGGATTCTGCTGAGTGGTTTGTTTCTGCTGCCCAGCTCTGCCCTTCTTTTGACTCAGGCAGCAAGGAAGCTGAGTCACATCCCTGCAGTCTGTGCCCTGGCCATGCTTGCTCTCTCCTACCCAGCTGAGCAGGGTGTGCCAGCACCCACACAGACTCTCCCTCAGCCCCCACCACCAGTCATGAGTCTGACCTGGTGCCAGAAGCTTTGCCAGCTGAAACACAGAGGTGAAACACCACTCCATGTGAAATCCCTCAGCCCCCACAGCAGGAGGAAACCTGGCCTTGGAGAAAGACAGATGCAATCAGAAAATACTTCTGATTTTAGCAGAAAGCTGGCCATACACTAAGGACCTACCACTAGAGTAGCTGGGATGAGAATGAAAAATGAGAAAGGCCAAGAATGGTCTGTTTTACCATCTGTAGGTTTGAAATCAGAACTGATTGTGTCACAGGAAGAAGGGCAGGATCCAACCACTGCCACAACAGGCTTTTTTTTTTGCACAGCTCCCCACAGACTGCTATTAGCATGTCTGCTCCAAGGGCTGCTCATCATGGCTGGAACCAGCTGAATGCAGATCACAAACTAGTTTTTACAGGCGTGTTTCTAAGAGGAACCTGTGCCTAACCAAATCAGCTCCTTCTGTACAATAAATTAAGCTGGAACCACTTTTGAGTCAGAAAAAAATTCCTAGCTCAACCAATATCTCCCTGGAAAAGGCAGACCCTTGAAAAAGCAGTATGAGTTAAAAGATTCATCTTCCTTTCTAGACTTCATTTTTCATGACCCAAGCAAGACATTACTCCATCAGTTAGCTGGAACATGGAGAGAGTAGTATCTGTAATGAGCCAGAAAGCCCTAGAAGAGCTCAGTGCCTGGCCAAACCTTGTGGTGTCCCACAGTGCCTCTTCCTCCTCTGTAACATTGTGAGGGAAGCCTGTTTCAGGCAGCCTTCCAACATGCAGGCAGACAGCTGGTTCTTCACTGAGGCTTCCTCTACCTCAACATCTGTTGCAAAGGAATGAGCACCAGAACTCTGGAGAGCCAGCTTCTCATCCCGAAAGACTGTGCGTCAGTCTGGAACACTGCAGTCCCCTCTCAGAGAAGTAAGCATAAGCTAGACCTGCCTGACCGACACACTTCTCTGGGTGAAAGGGCTTGGTGAGAAAGAGGTGTCTGCAAGTCAGCATTAATGGGCTGGTTAGACATCGTGGGACATGGGTGCTCTTGAAGGGCAGAGCAACAGGTGGGTCTGTGGGGCAGTGCAGCTTACAAACACCCAGCTGTGAGGACTCAAGGTCAATGACAGAAGGTGGGTGGCAGTTTCCTCCATGACTGCAGGAAGACAAATGGTCTGCCTTGCAGAGAACTGGTGTGACGAGTGGAGTTGGGGTATTACAACACACACCTGAGATACTGGTGGTCAGTAAATAAGGAGTCCTTCTCTCATGACTGGGCAGAGGGCTTTGTATCCCTGTGTTTTCACTAGCAATGTAGCAGAGCTGCACTGGTGTAGGCAGGGTCAGAATGAAAGCCATCAAGCACCTCTTCAGACACCAGCCTTCTGGCCCTAAACTGATATGCTGATATTGGGAAGTTCCCTGGAAATTGCAAATAAATATGGAAGTGAATAAGTTGCTTGTCTGTGGAATTGTTGGTTTTGGGGTTTTTTAGGTTTTTTGTGAAAACACTGGAACTGTAATGTTTGAAAAGCAAATTCATTTACTAAGACAAGGCAAAGCAGCATCAAAACATGATTCATTTGTTTAAGAGTGGTCCTTAAAGAGGAAGATCAAGCAGGCAACTTCTCCCTCACATGCCACAGCTTCTCTTTAGGTAAGGAAAGTTTTTTAAAGCAAAATCTGT